CCTGTCTGCTGACAGTGGCCAACACCAGCTACCCCGGAGGAGATGGACCGAAGACAATGACCAAGCCATTTGTCTTGTGCCATCCATCTCCAGCCTTCCACAGAGGCCAGGGACACCGTTCCTACCCCCTGGCTAATACCACTCCATGGACCCAGCCTCCATGACTTTATATAACTTCTCTTTAAACTGTTCTAGTTCTAGCCTTCACAGCCTCCTGTGGCAAGGAGTTCCACAGGTTGACTCTTTGCTTTGTGAAGAAGAACTTTCTTTTATTAGTTTGAAGCCTGCTACCCATTCATTTCATTTGGTGTCCTCTAGTCTTTATATTATGGGAACGAATGAAGAACTTTTCTTTATGCACCCTCTCCACACCACTCGTGCTTTTATATACCTCTATCATATCCCCCCTCAGTCTCCTCTTTTCTAAACTGAAAAGTACCAGTCTCTTTAGCCTCTCTTCATATGGGACCTGTTCCAAACCCCTGATCATTTTAGTTGTCCTTTTCGGAACGCTTTCCAAGGCCAAAATATGTTTTCTGGGGTGAGGAGATCACATCTATACACAGTACTGAAGATATGGCATACCATAGTTTGATACTTCCCCTCCTCCTTCTTCCCCTGGCTTCCCCCTTCCAGCTCCCTCCTCCCAGGTTTCCTCCTCCCCTCTCCCATCCTCTCTCTTCCCCTCTCCCATCCTCTCTCTTCCCCTCTCCCACCTCCTTTTCCCAGTCTCCCCGAGTTTTGTTAAATAAAGAGAGTTTCTATTTTTGAACACACGTGTCCTTTATTTTTTACATCAGAAAGGGGGGCTAGGGAGGGGTACGTGGAAGGAGGTGAGGGAGGAATGGGGTACGAGCCCCCAATGGGGAGGACTAGGGTGGCTCTGTGGGCTCGGCGTGGTGGAAGCTCTCCTGCAGCCCCCCCGATTGACTCCACCAGATGGCAGCCTGCAGCAAGTGCAGCCGGACTGATGGCCAAGTGCTGTGATGTGCCGAGTGCGGGCACTCAGGGCACTCCAAGTCAGGACTGCTTTGCTGTCCCTCATTGAGGTAGATAAGCAAGCGCGGAACCCTGAGAACTGTCTGTCCAGGGTGGGGATCGGGTCCCTTTAAGCACAGCCCTTGGCTAGCCTGAGATAGCAGCTCCATGCTCTAAGTCCTAACCTGATGCCCTGCCAGCACTGCTTCCGGCAAGCCTTAACTTCGGTTCAGGGTCCCCTCAATGTGGACAGTCGGGTCCCTTTAAGCACAGCCCTTGGCTAGCCTGAGATAGCAGCTCCATGCTCTAAGTCCTAACCTGATGCCCTGCCAGCACTGCTTCCGGCAAGCCTTAACTTCGGTTCAGGGTCCCCTCAATGTGAACATGCTAGTTTGAATTAGCAAAACGGTAATTCGAACTAGTTTTTAGGTCTAGATGCACTAGTTTGAATTAGCTCCACGCTCTAATTCAAGTTAGTTCGAAGTAGTGCTGTAGTTTAGACATACCCCAGAAGAGAAGAGTATTCCTGAAGGGAAGTTCCAAAGAGGATGGAGAAAGGCTGTTCACAGTAGTGATGGATGGCAGAACAAGGAGCAATGGTCTCAAGTTACAGTGGGGGAGGTCTAGGTTGGATATTAGGAACAATTATTTCACTAGGAGGGTGGTGAAGTACTGGAAGGGGTTACCTAAGGAGGTGATGGAACCTCCATCCCTAGAGGTTTTTAAGTCCCAGCTTCACAAAGCCCTGGCTAGGATGTTTTAGTTGGGATTGGTCCTGCTTTGGGCAGGGGGCTGGACTCAATGACCTCCCGAGGTCTCTTCCAGCCCTAGGATTCTATGATTCTAAGCTACATGTACACTTGCATGCTTCCCTGGATACTTGTCCATGTATTGCTAGCACACCATGTATTGCTAGTACCCCATGCCCATACTGGGTACCCACATATGCTATGCCAATCACAGATATACACTGTGCACAGGCATATATTTATGTCAGCACTGCCCCTTTTTCGGAATGTGATGTTAGTGCATTTCACTGACATTATCCCAAAGTCCTTTGTTTCACAGGAGTCACTCTAGAAACTACATTGCTACATGTAGCTGGTACTGTATACCACCTTCTCACATTTGTTGATGGCTACTTCTAGTCATGGCACATATTGAATGCTGGAATAGCAACAATATGCCTATGGGGGAAGTGCTTGTATTACTGGAAACCTAGCATAACATGGTGGGACCTCATCTTCTTGGAAACCTGGGATGATGATCTCCTGCAGCAAAACTTCTGAAGGAGGAAATAGACCTTCATAGAGTTGTGCAAGCAGCTTTCACCAACCACCCAGCTACAGATCACTCATTTTCAGAAACCTATACCAGTACAAAAGTGACTGGCTATTGCCCTTTTGAAGCTGGCAACACCTGGCAACCTATCAGTTGCAAACCATTTCTTGGTTGGAAAATTAACATTTAGGTGATGGTTATTCAGATCTGACACACTATCAGATCTTCAAGGATGCAGTTTCTGAACTGTGGTTCCACCAAAAGGGAACAGTGAATATGTGATCCACAAAGGTTAGTACTCATTCTTTCTTCAAGGCTTATTAGACCACAGGGATAGATTAATGAACACCAGTAATGAACACATAAGAAAAGTTCAGGATGCCCGGATACATAGGTGGTCAGGATTATAGTGGAGTAGGGAAGGGGCTCTAGCCCCCAGAGAGATGTGGTTAAGAGATGTGTGTTCCTAACATGGCTTGTGAAGCCCTAATATGCTGACATTACTGAGTGAATTCAACTACAAACTGAATAGCTGCAGAATGATGGTGGAATGCACCTTTGTGCATCTGCAGACTAAATACAGGATCAACACACACAGTGTAGCATAAGTAATATAAGTAGCATATTCACTTTGAACAGTCTCTTTGACCATTCATTTGACTAGGTGCTAACTACTTATGCTAAACTATCTGTTGACCTCGTATTTAGCTGTGACACTCTGAAGTTATGTCTACACTATTCAGCTTTTAGCAACAAGCTTGTGTTAACACAGCACTGTTGCTAAAAGTTGGTGCGTGAGAATGTTTTTGTTCGCTTTTTTGCTGACAATATATTTCCACCCCCAACGAGCAGGTTTTGCTTTGTTGGCAGGAGCAAAAAGCAGCACACACATGTACTTGTAACAAAACCTTGTCATTCGGGGGAGGCAGGTTTTAAGTATCCATGAATGACAAAAGTTTTATCTAAAAAG